TGAAAAGAGCACTGGATCACTCACAGTATGCTCTTCAGAATAAGACACTTTATATATGTGCATGCGTGTGTGTGTGTGTGTGTGTGTGTGTGTGTGTATGTGTACACACACACACACATATATATACACTTTATACATTTTTTTTTCAAAATTACTCCTTTGAGGTTGTTTCCCTTAAATTAGAAAGAAGTGCAGAACATATCTCATTTAGTCAGCTCTGTTTTTCTCTGCCATGGTGTGTTTATTGCCTGTGCATTTATTTTCCTCTTTGCTCCCTGATGGCACAGACTATGTCTGTGTTGCCAGCTCTAATGCCTGCACCCAGCACAGTGTCTGGCACATAGTCTGTGCAAAATAAATGTTCAATGGATCCTTAAAACATGCTTATACTTCTTCGTTTTCCTTTAAAATCTATTGAAATAAGTTTTGGACATCATATTGTAAATACATATAACACCTCTATTTGCCTTACATAGGTTCCACAGGAAATAGTTTAATATGCTAATAAGGCCATTTAGAGAAAGTCCAGCCAGGAATTGGGTTTCCAGGTACAATGATAGCTAAAACTAGTCACAATCATCACAAAAGCTTATGAGTGAGAAAAGATTTATACTTTGCCTAGCAGTGTAAAGAGGGAAAACTAGAATGAGACCTTTCATATATGCTCATTTCCATTTCTTAATTATCCAGGGGCAAGTATTGAGTTCATGGACTCTCTGTCATTCTCTCATCTCATCTTGCCTGACATTTGGCCTTTCAGCACATATAAATATATTGATCAAAGGGTGGGAAGAGGAAATGAAAGGAGACGAGAAAACCGGATTAGTGTAATTTTTTGTTAGTTAATATGACTTCTTTAAAAAAATTTAAGAATGAAGGATATTATCTTTTTATTATTAAAGAAAAGTTGTTTGGTTTTCTATTTAGTGTTAAATAATTTAGTGTAATTCAGTAATCCAAGCATTCTGTATCTATTTTGCAGAAAATGACCATTGGTTACATGACACTTACATATTACTAGCAATAATAATAGCAACTACCATTTATTGAAAGCTTATTATGTGCCAGACATTATGCTTATCATTTTGATGTGTTACTTCCTGTATTTCACAAAAAAGCCTATTATTATTCCTATTTAGCAGAGGAAGAACTAGTTTTACAGAAATCTCACAGTTTCTAAGTATCAGGGTTGAAATTTAAACCCAAATTCTTAAGGATTTCACTCATTGGCTTCCATAATCTAACTTGCAATATCAGTACCTTGTCAATATAATTCCCTCTCATATCGACAATTCTCAAAGATATAATGAAAGTGACTTCTAGATCTTTTAAATAGTAATCTAAGACATCCCAGACTCTTTTAACCATTATTTACATTTACCCTATATGCCCTTTTTAAAGTTAAATATAATCACTGTCATCCTGATAGTTTGCCCCTATTTTCTCCAGAGAGAAGACAGGGAGATTCTGAATAATGTGACTGATAATATCTCTTCTAAAAATGACACTATCACTTTGAAACAAAACTAATTTTGCATATCAACACGAGAGATCTGGACTGTGTCTGTGACGACGGAACCAGGAATCTGGTTATTACAAGGAATCATTATAAGGAATTACAAGGAATCTGTTACAGTGTCAGATTTCACTGTTTTTTATAATTATGTGGCTGCAAGGAAACAAAAAGTTTCTGGTCACCAAAAAGGCTGTGGTGACACATTCTATTGTTTGAACTATTTAAATATTTATGCCTTTAAAAATCAGAAACAGCCTCTTTTGGGTGATAGCTTGTCATGATTAAGAAAGATGTCAAATTTTAATGTCACAGACAAAAACAAATGGTATATCATTAACAATCTGGGTGGGATTAAAATCCTTATCACCCTATTGCTACAGATGGTACATGATTTACCTTCCCACCTGAATGACACATTAAATTGATAATGCAATAAGGACATGTGTAAAATAATGCTTTTGGCTGTGTATTAAGGGATAGCCTTAGTTGACAATGTAATGATGCAACTTGCTATAAGCCACATCAGAAAACATTTTCATACTATTTAAAACAAAGGAGGCTGCTCTTATGTTGCTGCCAACACACTATGGCAAGCAGACTATTGCATCCTATGTTGCATAGCAATAATATTGTGGTGCAGAAGTTAGAATGAAAATGTTTCAATATCAGGTTCAAGTGAGGAGAAAAAGATCAGACACCTATTGTCTTTAAGATGAGATACACACCTAGTACTGGACATCCAGAAGATCAGTTAATTTCTTTTGAAGAGTGAGTATAAATATTTTTATTTGTAATAGATGACCCAGGAGAACTTAAGCCATGATTATCATATGAGAAGCTAAATAAGTTTTAGTGAGTAGATTATAAATAAAAACCTTAGTTATGCCTGCTCTCAGGGTGTTATTCTTTATTCATCTTTTCTATGCTTTTAATATTTTCTACTTTTTTGTGTTCTCTTGTACACATCTGCTAAAGCTATTTAGAAATGTGGTTAGAACAATTGCTATAGGCCTGATTCAATAGGTAACAAAATGTAGAAAAATAAAAGTTACAGCCCAAGTTGAAGTGCAAGTGAATGTACATAAAAATGCAAAAAAAAAAAAAGTATAATTCTAGACACAACAACATAGCTTGACACTGAAGGAGAACCAACTCTACCTTGCATTCTGGACAACCATGACTTGACTGCATTGATTCCGAGAGCGAGAGTGAGGGATACAACAGGAAAGTAGGAAAGACGGAGAAAAAAGTTAGGAACAGAACTAAGAAAGAAAATATGAGAATAGTATAATTAGAGGAGCTATACCATAACCTATAAATAACATGGGATAGAAAAAAATCTTAGAGCTACAGTGAAATAATACTTCACAGATATAACAAATCCCAACACCTTGGCCACTGTAGTAATTAGAAATAATTTAATGAAAGAGCTAAGAATTGAATAGGAGTAGCATATTCATTAGCTGCCTTTGAGTGAGCTCTCACCCAGCAGGGATGTTTTGTTTGACATATTGCATGACGATAGCTTTAGGTGGGGCATTTACTCTCCATTTCCCACCATTCCCTGCCAGTCATCACAGAATGGACTGCCATATTCTTGTTACCTGCCTGTCCTTTCTGGTTATTCAAGTTTGCAACATTCTAATTGAAATATGTCCTGTAATAAATAAAAGATAGGTATTCCCATGTTGTGTAAAGATGATATTCTAGTATATTATTAGAGAAGATAAAAAATGACAGTGCTTTATTTTCATTCACTCATTAGCAACTGCTAATTAGAATCAAATACTTGACAGTAATTTCCCTTGTCTCATAATATCGTCGTTAAATAACACTGGAGGTCAAATGACCCAAATCAAAGGTAGAATGAAGTTATTGGTTTGTTGTTTTTATTGTTATTTTTGTTATACTCACTTTAAGAGACGTTGCCAAATTATAGTTACAACGACTATATATAGATGTAAATTAATTAACATAAAATAAAAACTCTCCTTTCCTGGGCTATGTGGCTAATTGTAATCTCTATGTAAAATTATTGAGCATTTTTCAAAATGTTCAGTACATTAAAACAAGAGCAACCATACCAACAATTCCAAGTTTCTAAATAATATTATTGGGGAACATGAAATTAAAGGCTGTATACTGAATTCAATATAGCATCTGGCAATTTTCAAATTATTTTCTGAGTATTATCTAATTCAGTTTTGACAAACTAAGAATTATGATTCTGCCTACCTTGGCTCCCAATATCAACAAGGAAACAGAATCTCAAAGAAATTGGTGATCTGCCCGTGGTGATATAATTAGTAAGCAGCAGATTCAAATGCAATGTATAACTGTAATTTGGATCCTGTTCAAACAAACCAACTACAGTCAAAGAGCACACTTCGTATAATTTCAATGCTTTTAAATTTGCCAAGGGTTGTTTATGGCCCAGAAAACAGTCTATTTTGGTGAATGCTCCATGTGCACTTGAAAAAGAATATGTAATTTGCTTTCGATGGGTAGCATGTTCTATAAGTATCAATTAGGTCATCAAACCAACTAGGAAAATATTGAGGCACCTGGGGAAATTAAAGAATTAGTTGAAAATTTAAAAATTATTATGGTTATATATGGTAGTAAGATTATTTTAAGATGAATCATCTTTCAGAAATATATACCAAAATATTTACATAAAAATTATAATAGCTGAGATTTACTTCAAAATAATTTTGATGGAGGGAGTATATAAGGATAAAAATGAAACATGATTGATTAGTAAGTGATGACTCTTGAGGCTGAGTGATGGGTATATAGTGAGCCATTATACTGTTCTCTCT